TTTGTTTCCCTTGCCCGGGGAGATATGTTCATGAAGAAGTCACTCATGTTTATGCCCATGAGATTTTTGCCTATGTTTTTTTCTAAGAGTTTTATGGTTTAATGACTTACATTCAGGTCTTTGATCCATTTCATGTTTGCTATTTTTGTACACAGAAATCTTGTTTCTCCAGAGAGCCACGGGTGGGGCAGTCCCAAGGCTCGGCTATGGGAGGCCCCCATATGGGTGGGTTGTATTGCCTGAGGGGACAGTGGGTGACAGGAGTGTGGGCCTGGAGGAGGCACTGGGCTTAGCAGCCTGACACGCCTGGGTGTGACTCCAGCTGTGCCACCCACAACCTGCATGGACCTGGGCCAGTCTGGAACTCAGTTTCCCCTTCTGCGAAGTGGGACCACGGCAGCACCAGTCTCACTGGGTCACCAGAGGATTGAAGGGGGGTGATGGATGCAGACCCCTGGCCCAGGGTGTGCCCGGGAGCTGCGCTGGGTCAGGACCATCCCTTCTCCTTCTCCAGGCCCTGCAGACCCACATCGGGTCCCATGCCTCCCCCAGAAGCCCCCCATCCCTGCCCAGCACTTTGTGTCCTGAGCACTCCAGGTCATGCACACTGGAGAGATTTGTTGGAGGGAGAGGGGACTTTGAGAGGACACAAATACCCTGTCTCTTCTGAAAACTTTGCCCATTCGCTTTGGCACCTGGGTACAGGGCTCTGCCGGCAGAGTGACCTCTCGGCGCTGGCCACCGCAGCGCATTCAGGACTGGGTCTTTCTGTCTCCTTTTGGGGTCCTGCGCAACTGCCAGGGGCAGCAGCCTTGTCACAAGGTGGCAGGGCAGGCGGATGAGGACCCTGGGCCTGGATGGGGAGAACCCACCCGCTCTGGGCCTCCGTTTCCCCATTTGTGCTGTGGGGCTGATGCCCACCTCATAGGGTCGTTGTGAGAAGTATGGGAGCTGCTGAGTATAAACAATCCACGTTGGGCCGAGGCCGTGAGACCCTCGGGGGTGCTGGCTGGTGGTGATGTGGTGCTGTGGCTCGTCTGCCCGGGCACTTCTCCAGGCTCTGGGGCCTCAGCCAGGCTGTCTCACCTGCTGTGTCTCTCAAAGGCTAGGAGGGACTGGTGGGCTCAGTCCTTCGAAGTCCCCCAAAATAAGCTGTCACTTTGCAGATTGGGGAAACTGAGGCACAGGGATGTTGTGGAGTCGGAAGCCAGCGAAGTCTTCCTTCCGGTGTGGCTAGATCGTCACCTCTCAGGGGT